ATAAGACTCAAAATAAACCAGTTCCCATGAGAGTGGAGAATCTAGCAGGTACTATGTATGCCAACAAGCAATACAGAAGTCAGCAGGCTTAAAGACATCACTGAGGGTTAAAATGCCGGTTGTTGGGTAGGTTGACATGAGATGACAGATAAGAGGGAGAAAGTAGGTCTTTACCTGTGGCTGTGGCAAATCCTCACTGATGTTTCTCTAGAATGCCAAGTTTCAGGCAGAAACCTAAAAGGGGCCATAAGCCACTCCCAACAGGAAAGGAAGAGTAATGGCTGAAGTCTGGGCCTGTCCATGTGCAGCAGCTCTCCTGGCCAAGTCCTGAGCTTGCCTCCCCAGTACTCTCCTTACCTGCTTTAAGACATGCCTGGCCAACTGGGAAGGCAAGGACTCCTTTGCATCCTACGCCACGTAATGTAGTTCTCGGGCCTTTGGTTTCTTCAGGTGGTGAAAGGCCTGAAATATATGCTGGAGGTGGAAATCGGCCGAACTACATGCAGGAAGACCATGCACCGCCAACTGGACAACTGTGACTTCCAAACCAACCCTGACTTGAAGCGAGTAAGCAGAAGAGCCTGTCTACTGAGTGTAGTCCCTCCACTAGCAACACACGTACAACCTCATACCTAAGGACATGTTCCCTCCCAACCACAAACACATGACAGCAGCAGCAGGTACTCCCTCAAGGGACACAGGGTTGAAAAACAGTTTCCTCCCAGCTCTCACAAGACCTATACCACCTGACATTCCAGAAGTCTCTGCAGAGCAATGCTCTGAATGTGGGATAGGGAGATTTCAGCAGAAAAAGCTTTCAAAGGATTCAGAAATCATATACAACACCTACAGATATAGGATATATTATAAAATATAAGTGCTGTATTTACTACATATGATCTCTCTAAAGAAAAAAAAAAGCAAAAGCTATGTGGTAAACTTTAACATGTCAAAATTATAGCTAAGAAGTATATAGTCTTGAATCATTCCAATGTTTAGGTTTGAAGATTTTCAAAATGAAAACTGGAGGTGGGTAAGGGGAGACCAACTCAGCACAGAATACACACAAACGTGTATGCATTCACATACAGTTCCCAGCTGCCTGGCATGCACAAGGGGTACTAAGGGAGCTGCCCTGGGTGGGCAGGGTCTCGGCGGCAGCTAGGGTCCTAAGACAAGCCTTTTTGCTGTTTGTTTCAGACTCTATATTGCTACTCTGAAGTCTGGGTCATCCCCTGGCTCCACAGTTTCAAGGTGCCTGTTCTCCGCTGCCACTGACTTCTGTCTCTTCAGCAAGACTGCAGCTGTGATAAATATACACCTCATGTGTCCCCCACTCCTTCCTTTCCACCCCAGCCTGGCCATCTCAGATCCTCAGGCCCTGCTTACCAGTGAGCAGACTGACACGCCAGTGGGTCCTAAGGAGGCTGGGATAGGAGAATACAGTGCCCTCCTCGACAGACTAACTGTATTCACACTTTCTTCTAAAATTAATTCTTCTGGTGCTACACACCTAGATTCAGGATGTGGGAATACAGAGAATCCTTTGATGACATTACTGGAGCATGGGTAAAGCAAAGCAGATATAGTCAACAAGTGGGTGGTGTGGGAGGCTTGATGCCTCACTGCACGAGCAGATTCTGTATCCATCTCGTCTACTACCCTCAGACTATTATTGATGGGGATGCTTTATCATAAATAAAAAGCTAATCATCTAAAAGCAATACCATGTGTCATCCTTTACAGAAACCCAGGAAAGTAGGTGACCTGGTGAATTTTGTGGTTCCATAAAACCTCAAGAGGCTTCATGTAGTGATAAGATGTAAGCTCATTTGCTGATGACCTAAGTAACTGGCCCAGACCTTGACATCAACAGGGTAGCAACACCCACAGAGAATAGAAGAACTCTGGGAGCATTTCTGAAGGAAGAGTGTCTGCACCAAGTTCTCTGCTGCCATGAAGGCTAATACTTTAGGAGTACTCAACACACGGGGAGCAGGCTCAACACAGGGTAGGATAAATGATGGGGCCAACCCTCAAAGTCAGTCACTGGAGAGAGCACAGATGGAGCCTGGATAGAGGGGCTGGGGTGGGATAGACAGGATGTGTGGGGCTCTAGAAGAACGAAGGGCTGCAAGGAACTAGGGACTTGGGAAAGACAGCAATGAAGCTTGAGCTGAAAGATGCACAGGGCAGAGCAGAGGGGAAACCCAGAATGGGCAGGCAGCCATGTCTCAGAGCCTTCATTCTGAGGGAACCATGACTAAGTACCAAGAAAGCCCAGGGTGGACAGAGGGGCCACTCACTAGACTTCTTCTCCAGTCTCTCCTTAGAGTAACTGTAAAGCAGAGATACAGGTATCTGGAAGCAACACAGACTTGATAACAAGTAGGAAAGTAAATCTGCATACACTATGCATAGCAGTGTAACTGCTGTAGCCCTAAATACAGAACAGGACAGGGATCTGCCTTGGTATCCTTCACATTCCCCTTTATTTTTGTCCTCACTCCCAGACTACTTCAATTCAGGGACAGTGATAGCAGCAATGACATGAGACACTGACTTCACTTGGCAATTTGTGGAGCCAATAAAGCCAATTCTTGAGAAAGGCACTTGACCCCACACATAAACAAGTAGAGTCACAGGGTACACAGCCAGAGCCTTCAGGACATGAGTGTGTGACGTTCATGATAAAGCAGTAGACGAAGGGTCCCATGTCCTGGTTTTGCAAAGTATCCATGAGAACACATCAAGGTCTGGTCTACCTGACTCTCTTAGCCATCCAGAATCCTGACAGAACTCAACTCTGGTGTTCTAGAGCTTCCTCCAGCATACCACTGCCACCCATTCCTCGCCAGATACTCCATGCCAGGTCCATGACTGAATGCTTCAAGTATCTGCTTCTGTTCAGTTTAGTGACCCTTGCAGGTGGCAAGTGAGCTAGCTACAATTGCTGCTCCATAAAACATCGCTCTCACCACTGCCCATGGGAACTCCTCACACCACTGCTATCCAGGCCACCACATACCCTCTAAGGAATCTTAAAATGACTCTGCTGTGCCCACGCCTGCAAACGGCAGCAGTCACTGCCTCAAACTCCTTAAGGTGGCCATTTACCTCCTGTCCAGCCTTACAGAACATTCCTTCATTATTACAAATCATGTACTGGCTGAGACACGAAGCAGACACTAGCCTTTGCGCCTCATTGCCCATCCATAGAAGGCCATCCATCTCTACATCCCTAAGTCACATATGCAAGCTGGGCATGGGACGCAGAGTTCTAGCTACTCAGGAGCTGAGGCAGAAAGGTCCAAGCCCAGGAATCAAAGACCAGCCTCAATGTAGCAAGAGCATGTCTCAAAAAAATAGGTAAGACAGTATGTGAAAAACTTTCAAAGTTTATTGAGTTCTTATATCTACCACCCTTCCAATCCTTATTCCACCCTAATCCCTTTCTCCCCTCCAATACTAGGTAACAGAGAAAGGTTAGAGGGGAAAAGGGATGTAGACTTCTTTAGACTATTTCCTGATGATTAGAGGCATCGAGTTCCTTGGGGCAAGTCCAATCACCGTCAGGATATCTCCAATCCCTTCTCCTCTCTTTGTTCGTGACCACTTGACAAACTGCAGCAGCAGGGCCCAACTGCAGCCTCCTGGAGCACACCCCACCCCTCTCGGAGTTCTGGTATTTATACCCTCTAATAAGTTCCCCAAATTCCAAACAAACTATCTGCAGCTAGACAATAATCAAAACCCTCCTAGTACATGGGACAAATAATTGTCACCTGCTATGAAGCAGCCTCTTATCCCACACATGAGATTAAAACAAAAACATATTCACATAACATAACTGGATTTTTAAAGAAACCAAAATTCTCACTACAGGTATGCAGACCATAAAAATTTAAAAAGCACTTCATTACACTGAAGAGTCAAGCAAAAATTGACTCTTAATAGTTTTCAAACAATTGAAGGAAATTATTAATTACTTGATTAATGTTTTAAGAATATCAATAAATCATATTAGAGAGCATTCCCTTTATGTTTACAAGAAAAGCATGTCCCGCATATTTAAGATAACCCCCTTTAGCACCTTACCATGACAAATTACCAGATAAACACAGGAAGTGACACTTAGGAGCTGAAAGCACAGCTGAGTCAAAAATCAAGAGTCCTTTGCTAAAACTGCAATAATAATAATGATAATGACAATGACAATGATAATAACTTTACCAGTGAGAATTTAGGCCCAAAGGCAAAACTTTCTTCTCAAAAAAACCTGACAGTCAACTTATAGGCTCAGGACATGCAGAGTTCTTATAGACTTATTGGTACTGCACAGCTATTCATGCATATCTGAGGGATGAGGCTTATCAGTGCTATGAAAAGTATTTACATGACTGTTAAATTTTCTTTACTATGAAGTTCCATAAACAGTACTGAGAGTTGTTTAGCTGATGGAAACGGGTTGCACTCACTGGTCTGAAGCCCATCTTACTATACATCTGCTGCTTTACCTCTACAAAGCCAGTCACAAAGAGGTGACAACTCAGCCACTTCTCCAGCTGAACACGAGCAATGTGGGGAGAGGAGGAGCAGCCAGTGGTTTTCATTTACCTCAGCTAGGGACAATTTTTCAATTTTTATATCATTAACTATTCAAACTACTGTTTCTGTCAAGTCATTTCAAATACTTCCAGAGACACAATCTCTTCAGCATTCTCAAACCCAAGGAGAAAAGAAACAGTGCCAAGAAAGCCAACAACATACTTGGGATGAATCAAAGCTGGGAAATGCCACTTGAGGACCCTTGGTATTCTGAGAGGTCCCCTAGCTCCACTTCTAAGCAAATTAGATGGCTGTCTTGCCCTAAAATAATACCATTACCAAAAGAGGTTTCACACTGACACTGTTAAGGCATTAAAGCAGAAAAAGACAGTAATTAAAGTAGAGAAGAAACTCCTGGGCCAGTTTACCAAAAGGAATAACCAGCAGAAAAGTGGGTTTAATATGATTTATTATTATCAAAATTTAGACCAGTGTATAAACATACTTGCCAAGAAATAAGCAACTTTGAGCTTATTACATTAGCACAAACATTACATCAACAGTTCACTAATCACATCTGTAGGTCTAAAAGGAATCAAGCCATAAAAGGGCATTTGTAAAACACCCCTGTGCGGGTACAATCTCGCTAGGTCACCCAATTCCAGTGGAGAAGACAGTCAGAAAGAAGCCCAATGAAATCCTCCTGGCCACTAAAATGGGGGTCTTGAAAACTCTCTGGCATGAAAAGAGGCTTGTAGAGAGTGGGAGAGCACCCCTTTACTGGGGAGGAATACCAGAAGTCCAGGTATTCTCACACATCTCACATGGCCCCTGAGAACAAGTTTCAGCTTGCATAATCCCTGCCTCAACACATGCATTACCATTTCCATGGCACCCCGCCACACCATCCCCAAAAGCATGACCCCACTGTAGAATGAAGATACAGACGGTGGCAGTTAGAGCCAATGGCAATACAAAGATCCCTGCACAGCTCATCTCCTGCTTTAATCAGCAAACCCTGAGCCCTAAACCCCAAGTGTATTAAATGTTCCAAATACTAGAGAATTCTTGTACTTAACATATTTTTTAAAAAGAGAAATGGCTTTCCATGATTTGTCTTCCCCATAGCAGATACACTATTTCCCCCTAAAAGTGACATCAAGTCCAGGTGAGAGGTACCTCTTGGAAGAAGGTATGAGTAAGGTCCATACCTTCCCTAGGCTGCAGCAGCTACTCCCACACTTCCAAGGACTAGCAAGAACACAGGGACAGAGCTATGTCCATGGCTCCTTCCAGACCTATGTGACTGAGTGTGATGATTCCTGGCATGCGCAGTGGGGGTAGCTGCTGGGCTGGCTAAATAGACTGGAGGTTTAGTCTGCAGATGAAGGGAGATCTGAAGGAGCCCAGGTACAGGTATCCATCATGTTCATGAGCCTCACTCACGTAGGTGACCACCAGTCCATCAGGATCATGCAGGCTTCTCCGGAAGGCACCACTGTCACTGACTTCTAGGACCAGGCTATATCGTGGCACAAACTTCATCAATGTCTCCTGACTGAACAGCTGGAAGGAGAATATCAGGGAGTAGAGCTTACCTTCTGACTGCAAGCAAACTGACCACACAACTTCTCATCACCTCAGAATAGTCTAGCGTTCTTTGGTCAGGGAGGTTCCCATAGGGCAGGAGCAGAACCATGGCTCTTAATCTCATGCAGATCAGACCAAGGTTAAGTCTGCACAGAGACAGCAATGGCATAGCCATTCACAGAGAAATGCAAGAGATCCAAGAGATCACTACACTGAAGTCAAGGTGAAAACCATTTTTGCCTGCCAGAACACTGGGTCAAAACCAGTACAGCTTAACCAAAGTAAGTCATGAACCTTCTACAAATATTCAAGGAGTGGAAAAGGCAAATAATAGAGTTTTAAAAGTCTTTCACATTCAGAAAGGGACTAGGAAGGTTATGTCAGTAAGTCCATCATAAAAATATCACCTCTTAACAAGCCAATTTTGCCATCTTCTTTGAAGCTTGGTCTGCAGTCCCTGTTGGCATGCCCCTGCACAGAGCTAAGCACCTCTGAGCACAGCTACCCCACAGGTGTAGTATTGTGAGGCTCATAAAAAGTTCAAGGAGAGAAATCTCATGGAGGATTTCTGGCACTGAAGAAAGACACTGGAAAGGAGCAACCCTGTGTAGAGTCTAGAACCAAGCCAGTGTCTCCTCAGATGGTGTCAATGGCTATAGTATGGCTGTACTTGGAGGAACTGATTAAATAGTAAACACGTCTATGCATGGTGGCACATCTGTAACCCCAGCACTAGAGAGGTAGAAAGTGAGTTCTAGTCAAATCTAGGCAATTAATTAGTAAAATCCTATCTAAAAAACTAAGGAAATATATGCAGGATAAGGGGATCCAGGTATCTCACTGCTAGACAAAGAAGGTACAAAGATGAAGGGAACCAAAAAACCTAAATAAAGCCCATAGGGTTTAGATATACTAAAGATAGTTTGCATAAACTATGGCATTTAAATTTAAATATACAATACCCCCAGATGGAGTTATTAAATTAACAGGCTGGCAAGCCAAGGACGGGTAAGATTCTGCAAAGAGCCTTACCAACTTAAGACAGAGGTGCATTGCTTTTGATAATGCATATACCATGACAGGTAAGGAAGGCATTCTTGTCAGAATGACCTAAGACAGGCTCAGTCTTGTTAATGAAATAAAAAAGGGGGAGAGGCAGAGAGCCTTTGGGGCCACTTGGCAAGAATCTGACATGGGCCAAGGACAAGGAAATGGGCTGCTTGGCAAGAATATGACATTGGCCAGGGACAAGGAAGTAGGCTTCAGTCAGGAATCGGACATTAGGCTAGAACAAAGAAGTAATTTCAAGTAGGAATCTAAATTTTTGGCTAGAACAAGAAGTAGGCTTCAGACATGAAAATGACTTTGGGCTAGGACAGGGAAGTTGGCTCAGATATTTTGGTCATTCTGATAAGCTCTTAGAAACAGTGATCACGGGAGTATTCACGTAATTGTGTTTAATGCCTTGCTTGTTCTTTGACTATTTGTATTTACTGTCTTGTTTGTTCCTTGACTATTTGCATCTATTGTAGTATTGCTAGACCCTCAACCTAGAACTGACCTTAATACATGCATGTAATTAAAATGGTATAAAAGCAAAAAGAGGAGGGGGGATAGGATAGGGGTTTTCTAGGGAGTGGAAATGGGAAAAGGGGATGGCATCTGAAATGTAAATAAAATATCCAATAAAAATTGATATGATAAATAAATTTTAAATGTAAGCATTTGCTTGCATTTCCTAGCTTTGCCTCTGAGGAATCTGGTAAGGTGTGGCTTCTGAAGTCAGGAGGGTGAAATGACAAAATACTCAGAATCAAGGAAAATAGGAGGAGACAAGGGCAGGGCACAAATGCTTCAACTTCCAGTATAGGCTAAAGAATACAGTCCGTTTATAATTCTAGGGAATTCCCTTGGTAAGCAAAGTGCTTCCCACTCAAGTATCCAGGTAAAGAGACAGAAGTGGTAGTACATGCCCAGTGCTAGGGACATGGAAACAGGCAAACTCCTGGGGCTCAAAGGCTAAGCAGCCCTGCCTATCTGATGAACCCCAAATGAGAGACCCTGTTTAACAAAACACGGTAGATAACTCCAGAGGACTAACCCTACGGTTGAAATCAAGTCTTCACACACATGTTCATACCTTTGTGTGAACTCAAAAATATGCTTAAATGTAGGTATGACAGTACCAAATAGTCTATCTATACCTGGAAGTTTGAGAACTAGTCAGTTCAGTAGAAACAGACCATAAGACTCATTTCCATCTTGCTTTTTGGAATTAATTTTCATAATTACCTTAAAAATCATTCTCTTAATAAAAGGCTTGTCAGATAAGAAATCCAACATGGAAAACCCAGGGTTAGCACGAATGGTTGCAGCGGCAACCCAGTACCCGCCGGAGCTGCTGGGCCGGATGTTGTCAGGAAATCCAGGCATGTTCTCCACAAACATATCTGCCCCTCCTTTCATCAGGCCAGACACATAGACTCTGAAAAACATGCCCAAGTAGACAATGAGAAATAGAAAAAAATTTAAGGAAAAGTTTTTAGCCAAGCACAAAACTGGTCTTAGTTCAAATATATGTATGGAAAATACTATACATGTGTCTGTCATGAATGCAAGCAAAGCTACTGACAGACATCTTAAGGACTACACGGGCAGAAAGAACCTACCTTACAGGGAAATAGACTGCAGGCTATGCTGGTGGCATGAAATCAAGGCACACTGTACTGTGCAACCCTTGCAAAGGCTGAGACATAAGTAAGCCTAGTCTAACTTCAACTTTCTCATCATTACATAGACGGGGCTGTGAAGCATCTAAAATATCCATTTGCCTCACGTCTATCCTACCACAGGCCATGGCAAGCTCCGGAGAAAAACTGATAGCTCTATCCACACCACACTCATACCTTCGTATCCTGGCCATGGTTGTCTCTGCCACCAGGACAAAGTCTTCCTCAGGAGATAGCTGAACTCCATTAGGGAACTGCAACTGGTCCAACAAAACCTTCACCTCTTTCGTCACAGTATCATACTCCAACAGGCTGTGGAAGGCCCAATACAACAGTCACAAGAGAGAAGTGCCCAAGTCAATCTATGTGGCTGTGGTCCCAGGCTGGCTAGTAAGGATCCTCCCAGTCTACAGCCAATCCAGTATCCCCTTGGTGACCAGAAAACTAGGACAGCACAGTACGAGCCAGAACACCAGGCTTTATGGCCTGAAACCTAAGCCCACTGGTGGACCTCACCCACTCTGTCCAGAACCACCCTTATGACTAGACTACATTTTATTTCCCCTGAGGAAGTGAGACCATCCTGAGCCACTAAGGTCTTATTCCTAGGCACTGGCACACTGTGCTAAGACCCTACTTCGGCTTCCAGCAGAAACAAGGTCTGCTGCTATCGCTTGCGGCCAATCCCCTAACTGAAAGAAAGGCGGAAGGACCACTTGCCGCCCGTCATCAGTGCCCTCCATCACCAGAAGCAGGTAGTCTCGTCTCTGCCACTTGCTGCTGGAATCCGTGAAATAAATCTTCCTCCCATCCCGAGTAACAGTGAGGTCATTCACAAAGGACAGTTTCTTGCCCTCAATGGGAGTCTCAGAGGATAGCAGCAGTTTCACTGAACCTGAAGTTACAAAAAAAAAAAGATTTGCTGTCACTTGAGGAATTTGTTTCTTGCTAATTTCACAATGTTAATCAACACAACTGATGTCAAGAGAAAAAAACTAAAATGAGCTTTTCTATCCCTCAGTGAGGTTTTTTCCCCCTAGTTACCAGCTTTAGGAATACATTCTTTAATTGAGATCAACAAAATTAAAAAAAAAAACCTATTAAGAATAATATGTGGAAGTATCTATCTGTTAGCCTGGCAGAATACAACATCAAGTATTCCATTTATCCACTTTTACATTAAGCAACAACAATAGTGAGGTTTTCAAACTAGCCAGGAATGAGCACATACTGCAGTTCTAGGTATGAGAAGTAAAGGTTAGAGAAGGGCTTGAACCCGATAACTGGAAGCCAGCTTGGGTAATACAATGAGACCTTCCAGCTCAAAACTCAAAACTCAAATAACAGAAAGGACGTATATTGAGTGCCAAGATTTCTATATACTCTATATTTAACCCTATGCAAGAATCCACAGGGAAGATCCACTATTAATCTTCTGTGCTATATGGAAAAACAGGAACAGAGAGTCTGAGTAACCTCCCTAGACATAACCAACAGAAAGCCGTGGACAATGTGCAATGCCCATGGTCTAGCCCCATGAAGAGAGAACACAGCACATACTATAACACCACTTCTGATAGTAGTATGACCAGTCACAGGAGAGAAAAGAGGGGGAATTGTCTAAGGGTTGGGGGGGGATTCTCAGACGAGAGGATGGGGAGTGATGTTTACAAAATAACCCTTCTGAGAGGCAGAAGCTAAAACACAGATGCCTGAGAATAACTGGGTGGAAACCAAAGCAAGTACAGAAAGGCAATTCTCTGGTGGCTAACACAGTATCTGAGGGCAATACTTGGGGCATTATTTAGTAAGAAAACATTGCAGTTGCCTGAAGACTATATTAAACAATTTTATTAAATCTGCTTTATGTGGATACTCTTTGAAAGATTGGAAAATATCAAAGAAACAAGATGTAACATACGTTTCTGAGGATTGACTTCGAACAGTCCCTTGTATGCATCAACCACAAAAAGAGTCCCATTGGGCCCTGCCCGGATGCCCAGGGGTCTCCCACAGGCAGGTTCATCATCTCGGGTTTCTAGGAAGATAAACGATAGGAATCGGCGGCTGCTCCAAGACTCTACCTGTGCCCTCTTCAGTGTCCAGGTATCTCTTCATACCTCCCTAAACAGACACCATGCTGGACAGAGCAAAGAGACCACAGGGTTAGCATCTGACCTGCCTTAGCTGAAGGTCATTGCAAGGAGCTCAACATCGGTACTTAATGTAGGGGCTACCACAGCGTATACTCACAAAATGTGCTCACTATGGGGTACTTACTGCAAGCGCTACTGCACCACAAGGGGTGCCTACTGTCCAGTGCTCAAAGTGGGTGCTGAGTACAGGTGCTACTAAGTGGGGTGGAAAGGACTAAAGAAGGAAATCTTAAGATGAGCATGGGTATACAAAGATGCCTGAAAAGGTACTCATTAAATGTCAGCACAGACATCACTAAAGACACAAATGATTTATTTTGGTTTTGTATGTTATGCTGTTTTGATTTTTAAATGAAACATCATTTTTATAAAACATGCCAGTTATCAAAAATGATAACTAGGCTGTGTACCCTAGTTGTAAAATACTTGCCTGGTCATCAGGTCCTAGATTCCACCCAGAGTATCATAAATAAATAAATAAATAAATAAATAAATAAATAAATAAAATATTTACAGTGAGTCAATTAATAAAAAACGGTAAGAATCCTATGGACCAGTTTTTAAGCAGTGGATTCTTCTGCTCATGCTTCCAAAGCTTGAATGAGGCTTGAGTAACATGACTGAAATCCCTGAGGAGCTACTAAATACTAAAGAATTTCAGGACAATCATGAAGCTTCCACCTTTATATAAAGCAGCACCCACATCCACAGTCATTAACAGCTGAAGTTCCTGGAAGGCAACCAGAAACTGAGTGGGATGATGAGAGGATGTGGCACCAGGAAGTACATGACCACTGCCCAACTGGACACTCCAAGGCCAGATATCTGGCAATAAAAAAAAATGGAGGCAACATACAGCATGTCCTATCTGCCAAACAGTCAGCAGATCTCCAAAAGTGACAATGACAGCTTTCCAAATGAAGTTCCATCAACTTACTGCAAGGGCCTGAACCAAACCGGGCGATGGTCTCTATTTCTCCATTTTCAAGTTTTACAACTCGGCCATCTGCTGTGCCAGTAAACAGCACATCTGTTTATGAAAACAAAAAGGGAAAAGATCATTAAAAGGTTGGCTAAGAGCTATGACCACACTGTCATCTTCTAAAAGGCTGAGTTATATTTTAACACCCAGAAAGAAAATAGCAATTCTGAAAATGACGGTGAATGATGTATGAAAAAATTTTAAACACTTAAAATTTAAAGAAACAAGCCAGCAGGTAAGGGGTAGGGAGTGGGAGTGGCGCACACCTTTAGTCTCAGCACCAAGGAGGTAGAGGTGGACGAACCTGTGAGTTCGAGGCCAGCCTAGTTTACGAAGCAAGCTCCAGGACTGCCAGGGCTACAAAGAGAAACCCTGTCTCAGAAAATTAAAAATAAAAATTAAAGTAACAAAATTATAGGGGCTGACCCTGAAGCTTCCTTGAAGGATGACACTGACCAAAGCTGTACAAAGAGAAATAGAGAAAAAGAGAAATATGAACAGACCTACGTGTTAAAGAAAAAAGAACTGAATCAATAATTAACAATAGCACAACAAAAAGTACCAGTCCCCAGTGAGCTGATTCACTGGTAAACTCTACCTTACAAAATTACAGCCAAGCCAGGCGGTGGTGGCGCACGCCTTTAATCCCAGCATTTGGGAGGCAGAGGCAGGCGGATTTCTGAGTTCAAGACCAGCCTGGTCTACAGGGTGAGTTCCAGGACAGCCAGGGCTACACAGAGAAACCCTGTCTCGAAAAACCAAAAAATAAAATAATAAAAAATAAAAAAAAACACAAATTACAGCCAAATCTCTAAAATCTGCTTCAAAAGACAGAAGCTGAAATAATACTTCTTAACTTATTCTACGAGTTACAACTTCTGTACTGCCCTAAAGACACTAAGGGAAATCACAGACCACTATCTACAAACAGAGAAGCAAAAGGCACCTGAAAAGATTGTATGATTCTAATGCTACAAGGTTCTGAAAAGGGCAAACAACACAGAAATGTAAGTCACTGGTAGCCAAAAGTTAAAGAGGGAAGGAGAACACAGGTAAATTTTAGGACAGTAAAAATATCTTCCATGATGGCACTACAAATCTGTCCAAATCCAGAGTATACAATGCTAAGAATGAACCCTAATTAAAACAGACAGTGGGAATGGTAGCACAACTCTGCTGGACGACAGCAGTGAGAAGGCAAACCTGCATGTTGAACCCGATGCCCATTCTGATAAGTAACATCTCTACTTTTTGTTCCATTATTAAAAATAGTTGGCTCTGACAAAAGCCCAAGGCTGAGAAGCTAGAAGTCCTAGAGGGGAAGCAACTACAGTTTTGCTAACTACAAATGGTGACATACTGCCTTCTAAATACATATGTTTGTACACATAGATTAGTGTTGCCCTCAGCCTTGGTCAGAGCTTTTCTCTGCAGTGGGCGATGGCGAATGCAGATTTTAACTGGTCAAATTGTCACTGAGGATAAGTGACTGCTAAGTGTTCAACCCTCAGAAGACGTCCATATCACTGTCCCTTCAAGGCTCAGGAAACATCCCAGAAGAGGAGAATCGAAAGAATGTACAAGCCACAGGATGGGGAAGAGTGCTGTGAAACACATGTAGCATGGCTGTTGTATTCGTGAACTCAGAAGCTACGGTTACCTGCACAGGAAGGGATCTGTCAATATTTCATCATGGACTAGGGAGAGAGAGGCTCATGAGTAACTCCCTGAGGATATACTGCAATTAGTGGTTGCTGAGGGAGGAGAGTAGTTTTCTTCAGTGATACAGCCAGTTATTCTGCCCATGTTCCAGTAGATAAACCCCATGTATACTCTTGCAAGGAACCCTATTTAAGCTCAGTGGGTCATTTAAAAGGTAACAAATAAAAACACAAACAGAAGGATGTGAAAAGCCGGGCGGTGGTGGCACACGCCTTTAATCCCAGCACTTGGGAGGCAGAGGCAGGCGGATTTCTGAGTTCGAGGCCAGCCTGGTCTACAGAGTGAGTTCCAGGACAGCCAGGGCTACACAGAGAAACCCTGTCTCGAAAAACCAAAAAAAAAAAAAAACAAAAAAAACAAAACAGAAGGATGTGAAAATGGATGACTTGGTAGGAAGAACAAAGTGAAAATGAGTGAAAGAGGGTGAGGGAGTGAAAATGACAAAAATATATGTGTGTTTGAAATTATCAAAGAACAATAATAAATATACAAAACTGAAACCATTCTGAACATTTCTGACAGAGTTAACAAAGCAGGTTTTATAACGCAGAGGTTAAAGCACTCTCGTGGTCCATCTTGGACCCCTATTCAAAACTCACTGTCTAGAAAGGATCTCTGCATTATTGCTACTAAAAGTGTTGATGTTAGTGAAAATACCGTAATTGCTGAAAAACATTTTTAAAAATGGTTCACTTGAAAACAGATAATGTATGCTAATTGATGGTTGCTCTCTAGCACTTGTCCTGAGGCAGGCAGCACCTGCCAGTCTCCCCCAGGACACCATCCACACAATGCTGCTGCAGCATTAGCAGGTGTCTGGGGGCCGACTTATGCCTCACATCCACAAGAACAGAAGCAGAGAGGTCGCCTTGGGTCCTCACCAGAAATGTCACCCAGTACACAGCTGTTCAATATGGAGAAAGGCAGAATAGATGCACTCACTAAGGCAGCAACACTTAGAAGTTCCAGTGGAAACAACAGTGTTGGCTCCTCACCAGAACTGATGAAACTTACCAACAAATGCCAAGATCTTTCAAGAGAAACAGAAGTTCTATCATGAAGTATTTACTCTTACTGGAAAAATATTTACTTCACAAGCCATATAACAAAGCAACAGCTGCAGAAATGAGCAGCCATGGGTCTTGAGGGAAAAAAACAGGTGAAGGACAAGAATTTGTCAAACACTTGTGCAGCAGTGGCCCTGGCCAGCTGAGAAACAAAACTAAATACACAGCACAGAATGTCCATAGTCACTGCCAGGTAATGTGAACAGACTCAGGGCTGCAGCATGTCAAAGCTGCCACTCAGAAATCCTCATCCCAGTCCAGGTTTGCTCATCTCATTAACTCTGTCCTTTCAATACTAAGCTTAATTCTCATTCTAATGAACAACAACAACAACAAAATGCCTACTGCCTGGCTGCAGAATCAACCATTTACATTAGCCCCAATTCTTGTTTTCAGAAAACCCATCCCGAGATGGATAAGTTCAGTGGAAATACTAAGAGCCTCTACTGTTCAAAATTAAACCTGTGCAAAACAAAGATAATGTAAGCAAAGAACTAGGGTGCTATCAAATAACACCTACCTAATTAAATAGATGAACTCAATGTCAGTATCTGCATTTGCCTTTTGCCTCCTTACAATACTGAGCACAACAAAGTGTTCTGTAAAAATTAACTCAAAATCACCCAGTGCAGCTGGGCAGTGGTGGTATACACCTTTAATCCTAACACACAGGAGGCAGAAGCAAGCAAATCTCTGAGTTTAATACCAGCTCTATAGAACAAGTTCCAAAACAGACAAGACTACTCAGAGAAACCATGTCTTGAAAAACAAAACAAACTAACAAAACAACAATAACAAATACAAAAATGGAATGCAAATCAAACAGAGAATTAGAGAGAGAGTTGCTCCCTGGAGATGCTCACAGGTGAGATTCAAGCCCAGAGCTCCCCTACCTGGGAGCTGGGTACCATTGCAGATACTCTCATAGAACCCACCACCCCGAACAACAATGGCAGCCTGGAAATCAGCCAAGGGTACTCTACAGGTCTCCTGGTTTACTTACCCCCAATATTTACTATGGATTCTGGTCCACTAAGTTGGTTTTCAAATAGCCTTTCTGCTTGTCGCAACTTCGTATTTGGTTGCAGAACACCAAACATGAAAGGGGGTTCTTTGAAGCTGTAAAAGAACACAATTGCAGTATTTTGTGTATAAAAATTTATGAAGAAAAATGTTTCCCGAGGACCCATGGCATGTCTAACTCCCTGTTTTGACACACAGAACACATTCCCAAATTCTTGAATGCCAGAAAATTAAAGGTTAAAGGGGAAAAATTCAAGAATATCAGAAAAAATTATAACAGGAAATAATTAACAAAAACATTGCAAGTCCCCATACCCCAGACATCCAGAAGGTCTCATCACCATCTAGGGCCTCAAGACAGTTAAACATCCTCACAATCTCTGATGCAAACAGCCCTGTAACTAGTTCTCTAGCTAGTACTGTCTGCCTGACATGGAGGGAAGCCTGTTGACCTTCCACAGCTGACTACCTTCTTGTCTCACATGTACTGGTAAGAAAGGAAGCCAGTCATGGACTAGCCTCCAGTGCTCATGACACTGCTCTCAGCCCTAGACCATCCTCCCCTCCCAAAGTTAAGTCCAGCAACTTTCCTCACAACTCATTCCCATCCACAGGCAAAAGTGCCATAGCTGCCAGCTACTGCTGAGGCCACTTTTAAAGAGACATGATTGCACCTTCCTCCCAGGTTCTCTGCTGCCTCTCTGCCCTGGCTAGTATCTTCTTTCCTCTGTTTCTTCATCCCTACAGTCTATTCTCAATCAAGAACCCCACTTCTCATCACAGCATCTGCCCATTGATGCAAATGCTCCGTCTCACTCAGAACCAAAGTCCTTAGATTAACCTCTTATGCTGCCCAGGCTGGCCCTGCACTGCCCAGTCTAGTCCTGTTACCTCTCCCATTTTGTCGTTTCTTCTGTTCCTCATCCCAGCCCCTGACCCTTGTAGGGTCTTTGGTACCAGATATTTTTGGTCCTTAACATTAACTGTCTCATAAGCTCTTCTTTCCTGCTTGGAGAAGCCTATTCTGAGCACCCAAGTTAAAATATGCCTGGGCCTGGCCCTGTATTGCTCTAATCTTCCCATTGTACTTATCATTGGCTCACCAACTTCTGGATTTGTTTCTCTGGTGTATTTACTGTCTGGTCCCATTAGAAGGGATGTTGTGTAGACCAGGAATCCCTTCCTGCTTCCCTCTGCTATATCCCAAGACCATGGCCAACAGGCATATGCACACTGCTAAGGAGGAAGAGAACTATTTCCTAACCTCCCCACAACCTTACCATTCAGCAAGGCAGTTTTCTGGCCTGATCATGAGTGAGCAGAAGCAAGGGGACTGGGGGAGGGGGTGTGTGTGAGAATGTGCACTTTACTCCCTAGTGCCACTTCTGAGTCAGCACCACACTCAGATTAAATTCTCTCTTACCCTCTGCCCTGGCTCTCAACTGTGGCATTCCACCAGCCATAAAGTCAAACCCTTTCAGCTTAACCAAGAAACTTCAGGTGGGGCAGTATGTAGCCTGCCTGCTTTGGCTAAGGAATTTAGTTCTGACTCTGGCAAGTCCAACCACCAAGCTAAGTATGTAAAGCAAACTATGTTTGAGCATAAAGCCAATGCCAGAGACACTCAACCCTCCCCACCTTGGTTTAAATTCTTCCACTCGGGAAGTCCTCAAGAAGTATTAATGTGCTTTTTCCTGCACACAGGCAACCCGAGAACAATCTCAGTAGGAAGAAAACAAGAAAATATAGAGCCAGCAATAAGTGGCTCATGCCTATCATCTCAGCACTCTGGGGGCTAAAGCTGGATATTGTCACAAGCTTGAGGCCAACCTGGGCTACAAAAGGAGACCATGTCTCAAGGGGTGGAGGAAACAGAGGACAGGGACAGTCAGACTTGGATGCAAATGGAAAGAGCTGGCAAGCAAGGTCCTCTTGATAGTAGTTGGCAGCAAGGGACAACCACCAAGAAGCCCAATGTCTTAGTGTCTTAGCTGGCTAGTCAGGCCACAGGTACTCATTAAAGCCAGTGACACTTGTTCACCCTTGCTAATTCTGTAGCTGTACTGTTTATGTCCAGTTGTTTATCTTTTTGTTGTGGTGGTTTTTCAGCCAGGATTATGTTTTGTTCTTTCTACAATAAAGCTTATTAAATCCCTCTGCTAGCTTTGTCAAATCTAAGTGTGTTGAGTTTGTCTCACACAAATGTCCACATCCAGGACATTATCCTGTAGCATGTCATCTGAAGAGATCCTTGCCAATTCAGTTTACCTTTCATAAGGCCTAGAAAGCCAATTGAGTTTCTACTTAGAAACAGTCAAAAAGACTCTTTTCCATAGAAGGATATGGGTGTTTATAGGCATTTTAAATATATACTTAGCAATCAAAGTCAAATTTAAGATTAAAGAGATGGCAAAGTTTTGGAGAATAGGTTTTGCTCCTACCATTTTAAAGACCATCAGGAGGATGAATTCCACCAGCACCTGAAACTAATGATGTTTCAGAAGTACACATTTTGCTACCAGGATGAAACTCAAAACTCAGAGGGTCAAAAATAAAACAAAGAGCAGCCTTTAGAAATAAGCAGGGATACCAAAAGGTAAGAGAAACTAGTGTGTAGCCCACATTGAAATCCCAGCACTCAGGAAGCTGAGGCAGAAGAATCGGTTTCCAGGCTAGGCTGGGATACTAAGTTGGACCTTGTCAAAGGAAGGAAGAAGGAAAAAAGGGAGAGAAGGAGGGAGGAAGAGAGGGAAGGAGGGAGGGAAGATGGGTTTGGGAAGACTGAGAGAATCAGTATTACAAGAAGCATATAAAATTAAACCCAAGTAGGACCTCCACTTACAGGGGAAGAAGAAAAGCCATGTCCCACATACGCACTGGGGAGAATAACCTGAGTGGTCTAAAACCACAGAGCGCTCACTCTAAGACAGGCTTATGGAAAACTTTCTCTAACTCACACATCCCCAAATGCCTCATTTCTCTGCAGCTGACATCACTAAGGTCATGCTGGCTTTTTTGCTCCTCCACCAACCACATATGACGACTCGGACAGCCCCGCCATTCTGCTCACATCTCACCATGCTGTCAAATGTATCCTCAAAGACTCTGTCATTAAGATGTCAGATATGCAGCTCAACATGCTCCTCTTTCATAAAGGAAAGGAAGGTGGCTTTGAAGAACAGGCCTTTGTCTTCCTACTCGCTACGCAGTAACATCAGCTGCACAATCATCCAGTCTGACGAGGCTAGCATTTCTTCCGGATCATACAATGCAAGCTAATCTCATTTCCACAGCAGTACGCACCTTTATTTGTAGTCAGTCCTTATTCTGGTTTTGATTTTTACAGTGCTGGGATCAAATCAAGGATCTTTGCACTTGGCTAGCAAGTGCTCTATCCATACACCCCCCACACACACACACACACACATACACACAGATCATTCAGTAATTCTAAATCTAACAAAAAAAGTGACTCTTGCCAACAGGTCCATCTAGGATCAGAAATGTGTCCTCTCTCATCTCTGAAGTCTGGTGGGCCCATACCTTAGCTGTCGAACATGTTCTTAGTGAACTGAATCCAATATAAAACCTTAATTTTTATATACAAAACACCAATAAATTATTCAGTTGTATATATTACCTTCACTTCATAATTAGACAAAGTTCTTGTATTAAGTCCTTAAAACTTTACATGAAGTACTAACTCATCTAAAATAAACTCCCACTAGTGTCTCCAAGGGGAACCAAGACTCTTGAAAGGCTTTTGGTATGATGATTTGAAGTTTTGCTACTATAGAATCTATGTGAATTCCTTATATGAATTTGTCAAACTTAATTCATCCAAATAGAAGAACTAGGATTTCCTTTGATTTCTAGAGGTAGATGCTGCAAAATGATTGGGAAAACAGAGGCTCAGGGAGTTGAGAGAGCTCCTTCATGAAAATCTCAACCTACCTTCCCTTTTCTCCAGGCCAAACCACACAGCTCTTCTACAACCAGCCCAAGTTCAATATCAGCAAACACCAATAAGAGCCTGACTCTGCCCTGCCAATCACAAACATGACTGCATGTTAAGGGGTTTTCTTTTCAAATTACAATAGACTGATTTCTCACAGACCTCCAATGGTGAATTATAACTTAACAGAATTATATAATTACTAATTACAAATCTTAAAAACTAGTTACTTACAAAAGCTACATAAAGTGATTTAAATCACCACAGGGTGCTTCTGCTACTTCAAGTGAACTGAGGTCAGTTATTTCAAACTCTTAAGCTTTTCTTACTCTGATTTTCACAGCTGGTTTCTATCACAATGTCAGAGACAATTTCACACAAACAGAGTTATAGCTAATTCAACATGAAACTCAAGGCCTAAGAAATGGAGCTCTCCTACTCATAACCAATTACCAACCCACACTGATTCTATCACATTCCCCCACTTGGTGGGAGAGCCGAGAGCCCTTCTCAAGATTGCTGGGAACTTACCTGAAACTCTGAGGGTCTATGGGGGACTCCAACAGCAGCATGGCTCCCAGTAGGGGAACAGCAAGGGACACAGCCAGCATCAAGAAGGTCATTCTGAAAACTCTGCCACTAAAGGAACTGCCAAAAATAAAACAGAGTAACAATCAGCACAGCCACACACACAGTGACAAGCCTGCCTGCTCTGGAGGCCCACTCTGAAGCACAACCACACACCTAGTTACTCTCTGCTCACCCAGTTTCCCCACTGCAAGGTCACTAGCTTTGTAGTTCATGGTTAAACTTTAGCAGTTTTGCAATCTTGGCAGACATGACTATTTCTTTGTGTAAAATCTTCCAGCTGTATAAAATACTCTGGTCAGTTATAGTCCAAATATTGTTTCTTCAAGCAGAATTTCAAAGGAAAAACTCACAAAACTGATGAATACAAAATGCAATAGAAGAGCCAGGCACAGCTTACAAACCTGTAGCCCAGCACTTACAAGTCTGAAGGAGGAGGATTCTAAGTTTAAGATCAGCCAAGATTCTGCCCCAGAAAAGATGGGAGAGAAGACTTGCAACAACGTGATAAACATATTCACATACTTATACAGAGAAGGTAAGCAAACAGGTGGGGATGCACTGAGATTTTCATGAAAGAAACAGAAGCAATGCCAACTCTGAGGCCCTAATTTCCAAAACATTGCGCACCTCCCCATTTCAGGAATCAGAGGAAATCTTTCTTTTTCCTTTGGTGGAATTTGGTAGGTATTCCTGGGGAATTCACATGGATTCAGCAGTTAAAATTCTAAAAGGGCAGGCTGTAGAGATGGCTCAGAGATTAAGAGCACTGACTGCTCTCCCAGAGTGAGTTCAATTTCCAGCAATCACAAGGCAGCTCACAACCATCTGTAATGTAACGTAATGTAATGGGATCTGATGCTCTCTTCTGGTGTGTCTGAAGACAGCTATAGTGTATTCATATACATAGAATAAATAAATCTTTAAAAACAAAAACAAAAAACAAACAAAATTCCAAAAGGCTTTACCAGTCTAAATGCTACCTCTGGAATCTGAGTAGCTTTCCAACAAATGACAGCAGTGACTAGAACACCTCACATATTCTTATCTGGTTTAAAAACAGTGACAACCTTTAGCCTCTTGCTAAACCTCGTAGAAGCATTATCTCTTTGCATAAATGACCCTGGAATTTTTACTAAACACTTGACATTAAGATTAACTTACGGAGGCTGGTAATACAGTGGATAAAGGCTCTTATTGCCAAGGCTGATAACCTGAGTTCAATCCCCAGAACTCAAATGGTCAAAAACCTACATGTACACTGTGTCATGGATGCCTACACATGTAGCAGGAAATTACCACAAGTTGGGAGGAGCTAAGATGGGAGGAGTAAGGAGAGGAAGGAGAGGAGAAAAGAGGAAGAAGAGAAGGGAGAAGAGGAAGAGAAGGGAGAGACAGAGGTAGGAGGGTGGAGAACCACGCTTGGACCGAGAGCAGTCCTGGGTAACAACTTATATCTAGGTTAGTTAATTGGGAAACACCTGTAAGCATCTTGTTTATTGAGCATAACCAAATATATAAAGCCTTTGGTTAATCATTAAACATTAGAGTCTAATTCCTACCGGGTACCACGTTGATGGTGGGATGCTCTGGGCTCAGCCCAGCCATGTGGAAACAGCATGGAAGATTGGCAGAGCCATCTCCCATGCTGGCGTCTCGTGAGTGGCAGGGCTGGTGTCTCTGGTCGCCTAAGCTGATGGCCTGAACCAAGCAGTGGCACCGCAACTACTCCTGGCCGCAGGCCTAGGCTAGTTGGGAACATGGTGGCTGATTAAGAAAAGCCAGATTAAGCCAGGCAGTGGTGGCGCACACCTTTAATCCCAGCACTCAGGAAGCAGAGACAGGCGAATTTCTGAGTTCAAGGCCAGCCTGGTCTACAGAGTGAGTTCCAGGACAGCCAGGGCTACACAGAGAAACCCTGTCTCGAAAAACCGGGGGGGAAAAAAAAAGGCCAGATTGAATGCCACCGTTTTAAATATCTCCTGCAACATACACACCTGCACTCATACACAAACACATACAAATACACACATACATAAATATTTTTTTCAAAAAAAAAGTTAACTTGAGCAAATTTTAAAAAGCTAAAATCATAAACTTATGAAAACTTTCCTAAATATACACTTTAAAAAGTGAGGAGTCATATTTAACAGACCAGATCTGAGGGAAGGGTTTTAGTTTTGACAGGCAATGGCCATAGCCAAAACTAGAACACCAGAACAGAAAGGAGTCTAGGCCTGCTGTCACCATTAGCAATAGTAGAGTGGATAATGTCTGGACCCAGAGCCCTTGGTATAAAACACTACAAAGGTCATGGTGCTACTATGTATCTTCAAGAATTATGTTAATGGAACCACACAACATATGATTTTTAGTTTTTAACCTCCCTCCTCAACTTGGTGACTTTAACCCAGAATCCTTCATTCTAATACTTGTTAGCAGCTGCCACTTGTCCAGCAATTCTGCCTAGATCTCTTGGTTCAGTGTCAGCCTGCAGACCCCATGTTGGTCCTTTTCACTACTGTCAGCCCCTCCAGGGCTTGGACAACTAGACAGGCCACACTCATGAAGCCTCTACTGATGTGACTGGGCCTGATGCTATTTCTCTGAAGTCCTCCACAGGTGTTGGTCATAGAGCCAACCCCATCACCAACCCAGTTAGATGCACACTACACTGTGGAAGCAACTTGTGTGCAAAACCAGTTCTCATATCAGGGAACATGATCTTTATGTCTGGTCAGACTGTCTGTGTCTGCTCACTCAGGGCCTTTCAGCTCTGAGGAGAGCTGTCTGGTGAACTATTGCTGATTTACCTCTTTTAAAACAACACCAGGCATCCAGGAGCCTCTATGAAAGAGGAAGGACTTCATTTATTTGGCATAAAATCTTTCAGGATCATTCATATATTTGTGACATAGTACGTCAGTATTGTGTGTGTGCACACCCAAATACGTTCATCTACTCATGTACTTACGGACATCCCTGGTGAGCAGAATTTGTTCCTTGCACACAGTGTAACTTTGCGATTACTTAATAGGTAAAAAGTGTCCGAATGGGATAATGAAAAGTAGCCAGCCAACACTAAAACACTGTAAATCTACTGACCTTCACACATTAAAATGGTAACTGTATGTTACAAGAATTACATTTCAATCTTCCTCCCCAAAAATACATACATATAAATTTGTACAGTGGTAAATTGTTAGAAAACGCTATCATTTTATAAGACAAAAAACACTAAATTGAAGATTTTAAATAAATTCTGTGATTTATTTCCACTAAAGAAAAAAAAATTCAAAATCAATGAATCCTCTATGCAAACTGCCACACCAAAGCCTGGGAACTGTACAAAAGTGATTTTTTTTTAATAGCCTAAAGCTTTTTACCACAATAGAAATAAATTGAGAGGTATCCATTCAATAAAGTAGGGTTGGTTACAGTACCAATGACAGAAAGATGGCTATTTAAAAGCAAAAGCAAAAATCCCAGAGAGAGACATATTCAAAGCACCCAGAGAACTTTATACAATCCAACCAGGATATCCCTGTCCTTAAAAGGACACTGATACAATCATCCACATCATCTGAACCAATGGAGGAACATGTTATATAATCCCAGACCTATAGTTGCAGGTTGTCATTTAACCAAAGCAAGCATAAAATTCTAACCAAAGTACAGTTTTCTTTTTTCATTGCCTAACATAAAAAATTCTCCTAATCTCCCTCAGACACAAACTTCTCTTTATCACACTTTTTCTCACATAGGAAGAGGGTATTGAGAATAGAACTCAAAAGCTTTGCACGTGCTAAGCATGCCCTGTCCCATTAAGCTGTATTTCCAGCCCCTGTACCTTATATTTTAAAACTCTTAACTTGGTAATTTGATTCAGAGTATGACACTCTACTTGAGTCACTGTCCCTTCACATCATGATAAAAGGTTCAACTGTGTCCAAAATAAGTCCAGCCAGGATTCAATGCAACAACTGGAAAAGTAGCCAGAATTCCAAAGATGACTTGTAAAGGATGTCCTACATCTCCCATCTTGTCAGGATCTGAGTAAGCACCCTCTTTCTTTCTGTGGTCTTAGTGATGGAACCGGGGGCCTCTCACATATTAGGTCAACATTGCGACTGAGTGATATCCCTGGATCCTTGACAGGATTTCCTGGGACCTAGTAATATTAATCTCTTACAGTTAATAGGACCAAAGCTAAAATATTTAGAAGCCCCCCTGTTGGGTGCTCCCAACTTAACTTCCTCCAACAAGACAACCTTCACAGCTTTTGTTTTGAATGCTTGCTTGGGTTTGGTTTGGTTTGGTTTTTGGTTTGGTTTTTGGTTTGGTTTTGGTTTGGTTTTTGGTTTGGTTTTGGGTTTTGGTGGGATTGGTGGGTTGGGTTTGGTTGGGTTTGGTTGGGTTTGGTTTGGTTTTGATTTTTTGAGTCAGGGTTTCTTTATTATGTAGCTATGGCTGTCCTGGAACACAACAGGTAGACCAGGCTGGCCTCCAATAAACAGAGATCCACCGGCCTCTGCCTCCCAAATGATGAGATTTAAAGACATGAGCCACATTAATGAACATATTCACAGCTTTAAAGAATACCTGGAGATTCTGATCTCTGGATTCAGAGTGGGCATTTTACCTATCACTTTTTCCTGGTACAGCTGGACACCATTAATCTTATCGACCTTGCTCCAAGACTTCACTGTACAGCTTCTACCAGTAATTTTACTTTTGCTGGTCAAGTTTTTTGTTTGTTTGTTTGTTTTGGGGATGGTGTTGGTTTTGGTTTTTTTTTTTTTTTCAAAACAAGGTTTCTCTGACTAGCCCTAGCTGCCCTGAAACTCACTTTTATAGATCAAACTGGTAGACCAAACTGGCCTCCAACTCAGAGATCTACCTGTCTCTGCCTCCTGAGTGCTAGGATTAAAAATTAAAAGCATGTGCCCCCACCGCCCAGCTGGTCAAGTTTTATGAGAACTGAGTATGACTTTCCAGAAAAATCTCCCATGATGATGAAAATAAAGTAGGCACTGACCAGGTGTAGCTACTAAGTACTTGAGATGGAGAAAGCTTGTCACATGAATGAGACAAACTACTCTTGAACTTTTATTCTGCACACACTTATTTGCTCTTAGCTAAGGTTAACTCTTTTGACCTCACTACTGATCCTGAGACTGATAGTCCACTTCTAATACTATGATTTTCTCTATGTTGGCTTTCTTCAAACTGTGCACCTGCATAATTTAGCTTAACCTTTATCTCTATTTTCATTTTCAGAACACCACACAGTCCTAGCCTATACTCATACAATCAACAAAGCTGGCAACTTATTTTCCAGGTGAATCCTGAGCAACAAACTTGTTTGTTCAAATTTCTTAAGAAGAGCCTAGAGCAATGCTTGCTCCCTTGAGGACATGGACACCCTGAATTGCCAGCAGTCTCTATGGGAAAGGACAAGTCACAGTGATGCAACCTGTTCTGACAACTGTGTTGACAAAAGCCACAACTTACAAAATCCTCTGCCATTTCAACAGACAAATTTGAAGAGTATTCTCCAACTCTCCCTCTATGTGAACACCAGACCACAGATCCTTCAAGAGCCACAGAGCCTTGATTCAGATAAAAAGACACCAAGAATCCAAAAATGAACTGAGAACTCTGCAGAAAAAAACAATCTCTTGGCTCCAAATCCATGCAGTAGCAAGCAACCAAGGAAGCATGAAGGCCAAAGAGCAACACGTCTCATTTTTTAAAGTAACTAACCTCGAATTTGCTCATTTTTTCACATTCTTTTCTTCTAGAATCATTTTCCTCTGAAAAGAGTAAAAATTTAGTGTCTTAATTGAGCAATTACAGAAAAACAATTAAAAGACCCATTTGAAGACACACGTAGGCAGTGTTGAGATGTAAACTCTATAATCCTAACTCTCTTATCCTCCATCTTAAATTGGAAAATTGGACTTAGACCTCCAGAAATGTATTGAAAACACTGTTGTTAAATCTCACTGTATCCTTCACTCCTGAACACGTGCATACACTAAAAACTAAAGCAAACTGAACTAGACAGAAGGGTGTTTCAAAAGACAGTCTCACAATGTAAGGATTACTCTTTCAATAAAGGTCCTGGAGCATTTGGGAAACAGGGTCAAACAGTAACTAACAGACAGTGGCATGTTAAGGTGCCCCACTCGACTGTGCTCCACAAGGATTCAACAATCAAACCTGCTGTGTGGCTCACTCAGACATTCAGAAGCTTTAACCCCAAAATTTACTCTCACAGCATAATTCTGAAAGATGCTTCCCAGTCACTGTCCAGCAGCCAGTCTGTCCTTCACTCACTCTTCTCATCCTCACAGTCTAGAATATCATTCAGTGTCACACTCAAGACCTCAATAACCTTGTCAAAGTGAATGCGGCTTTTCTTGCAAGTTAGGAAACTTTCCAAAGTATTGCAAAGTACCCCTGCCACTATTAAAATCTGTTTCCTTTCTTTTTTTTCTGATAATAAAGGTTTCAACCACTCTATTTTGAGGTGTGTCTAAGATTTTTGACATTGCAACAACTTGCTGTCATCTATAAAATTCATACTCTACTATGCAATCAATATTAAGAAAGGAAGGAGGGAGGGAAGGAGGGAGGGAGGGAAGAAAGGAGGGAAAGAAGGAAGGAGGGAGGGAGAGAAGGAGGGAGGGAGAAGGGGGAGAGAGGGAGAAGGAGGGAGGGAGGGGAGGAGGGAGGGAGAGGGAGGGAGATGGAGAGAGGGAGGGAAAAGAGGGAGAGAAGGAGGGAGGGAGAGAGGAGAGGGAGAGAAGGAGGGAGGGAGGGAGGAGAGAGGGAAGGAGGGAGAAGAGTGAAGGAGGGAGGGAAGGAGAAGAGGGAGAGAGGGAAGGAGGGAGATGAGTGAAAGAGGGAGGGAGAAGAGGGAGAGAAGGAAGGAGAGGAGGAGGAAGGAGGGAGGGAGGGAGGGAGAAAGAGAGGAAAGAGAGAAAGAGAGAGAGACAGAGAGACAGAGACAGAGAGAGAGAGATCTAATGTTTTAAGTCAGTTTAAGATTTTGTGTTAGGTTTGCAGGTTTTAGCAAGTCTAAAGTTTACTCTAACATTCTGTTTGTTTATACTTTTTTTTTTCAGATTCTATGCTTTCTTTTTTTAAGTTTTCTGCACTGAAGATCAAGCCCAGGACCTTAGGTGTACTAGGTAAGTGCCGGATCTCTAAGCTCCTAGCTTTCAGATTTCTTCACAAAACTTTCCTGATTCACATTTAACCCTACACCCTTAGTAAAAAAGATAATTGGACAAACTATTAGAAATGACTACAAGGAAAAAATACAGAACTGCTGAAAATGATAAACAGGAATGCTATCACTGTAAGTATAGAAAGGTGGGTGGCTATAACTCACTTCAAAGCAACCATTACAGATCACTAGAGACAAAATAAGAAACATTTACAAAGGACAAAGTCAAAACAGCGTAAGCACAAATGTAAGACACTGGAAAAGATCAGGTGGAAAGAGACAGTTTGGGATCTAATTTGTAGCCATTAAAGAAGAAATCCCACAGGGAACCTTTAAGAAAAAATAAAAAGATAAATATGCCCCTTTGCCTGTGGATCAGAAGTGTCACAGAAGCTGCTGTTCTAAATGTCAGGCCAATCCACCAAGGGTCCCAGGGAGCCCAGGCTTCAAAACACTTCACTTCTCTGAGTGCCTGGATAGGGCCCTCCTCAGCGCCACCCTTTCCTAGTTCTCCTAGTTTTGCAGTCAGGTTTGACCACTCCTTGCTTATCCATTCTAAAGACTCACTGGCCATTAGCAATTAATTAGCAATATCCACAACACACAGGGTGAGCAATCTGTCACAAACTACCCACATTTACCAAGGTGAGTCCTAGAAAATGAGACCTCAAGGCAACCTAGGATGACTGGTCTCCCTAATCAAGACCCTTACTAGGACCTTGCTGTTCTACAAACTCCTCTTTCCAAAGTCAAAACATGTCTGTCTGTTTATCTTTTTATCATTAGTCAAACCTATCATCAGAATCAAGGACTGTCTCTCATCTAGCATGTACCACACGCCCTAATCACACTGCTGGTGACCAAATGAATAGTTTCTAACATTTCTATCATATAAATTAATTCCACAACTTTGAGGCTGATCTAGAAGTTCAAAGTATAAAATTCACATCACTAGTTGGAAAGTGAATTTTAAATGTCTTCTAGTAGGGTTTAAGGAACATGCTTCAGATTTGAACTAACAGAGCATTCTGAAATTCAGAGAGACTGGGGGGAAAAAGCCAACTTTAGAGATTTACTGTCAGTAACTACTGTCCCTCTTACAAAAACCTGCAAGACCGAATTCTCAGGAAAACTGCCAACAATGTCACGTCGGTTCTCTACTCCACGCTGAGTACAGACTGTGCGACGGCAGATGCAAGAGGACTTTCGCAGAAAGGAGACCCCTCATCTTTTCTGACTTCTCTTCAAGGAAAGTGGAAAAACGGGGAACGCGAAAGGCTCAGGCTGAGAGCAGTGTGGTCAGGTGGCTGTCCCAGGAGTATCAGAGGATCCAACAAGGACACGTCGGGAAGATGCGCGGAACTAAAGAAAGGCAAAAGGCGTTGGCTCCAGCGGCTGGGTGGCAAGGAGGGACAGAAAGGGTCCACAGCAGCGTGAGGGCGGACAACCAGGTGCACGCAAGGCCTCGCCCCGCAAATGTGTCCTGTCAGTCCGAACCCGGCTCCTCGGTCAAAGTGGGGTTAATAAGGAGGGTTCTCTCCCGTGGGATGATCCCAGCCCAGGTCCGGCCTACCTGCCCTCCTTGACCTCCGGGATCTGGCCATCGTCCGTGACGACTTGCGGCCGCAGTGGCCGGCGCTGCCGCAGCCCGTCTGCCTCGCTCATTCTACCGAACCCTCCACTGATTGCACCGACTCTGCCGGCACTGAGCAGCGCGGGTTTCCAGAACCACCCCCTGGCGCGCGGAAATGACGTACAACATGGCGCCGGAGCTGCAATGCAAGGCCCCGCCCCCTTTGGAGATCGGCATAGTAGTGCGGCTCCACCCGCGGTCCCTAGCCTTCAGCCGCAGACAAAAAGTGAGGGCGTCCCTCCCTCAATCAGCCAAGTCCGGATAGCGAGGCTGTAGCGCGGGTCTTCCTCACGCCCGAGTGCTGGGCCGTGAAGTCTGCAGTAACAGGCTTGCAAAGAGAAGATGCCACTGATTCACGAACTGTGTTCAATGCAGCAATCCCCGCCTGAACTGTTATCTTTTCTGAAACGATTCCGCTAAAGTTCACAATGTGTCCTTTTGGTTAAGATCAGATGTTGACTGATAGATCTTCAATTGGTTATACAATAGACATTTGATAAATTTTCTAAAGGAAGTTCCCTAAAGACAGGCCCAAGTAGAAAAGACAGCTAATAGCAAAACTTTAGGAATCATGAAGCAAACACCAGGTAGTGCTTCCACGGTATTACAGTGAGTCAAACATACTCATTGAGTATGGGGGTGAGGTGAGCAGACCGCAGGTTAAGCCCTCCTCCCTGGAACTAATGGAAGCCATGACTTCAATACATGTAAATTTTAATTAAATTTCGGGCAACAATAATCAAGTAAGGCTTCGAAGGTTTTTTGTACTACACTTGAAGTTTTACTGAAACAAACATGCCATCACCTTTTCGGCACTAGATGGCGATATAATGCCACCTCAATGTTCTATTTTTCTCTAGCTTGAGATTTCTTAACACAGTTCTGTAGGGATCTCAGGTTATATATAATTCAAGCCTTGGCAACATTATGCTTGATTCCATCATTGAAGACAGACATTATAAAGATAATATCGTGGGTAATTTTAACAACTGCTGTGTGGGTCTGGCACATATCTGCATGCCTCCATGGCTTGCTTTTTCTGATTGCATGTCTCTGACTTTGAGATCTTATTCTTTGTTTCCTTGTGATACATCTTTCTTTTACCTCCACATAAACCATTCTTATCATCCAGAATCCATTTCAGGTGTCATTACCGAAAATCTCTTATTGAATCTCCAGAGTTTCTCCCTCTGTGGGAGGCTCTTTGAACATTGCTGAACTGTCACCAGTAGCCTGTTATGTCTGTTATGTATCCTATACCTGTTACATGGTTACATTGGTTAAGTGTATCCTAAGCCCAGTGTGAAACACATGGGCCAAAACAACTTGGAACATGCACACTAAGAATAATAAGAGAGTGGAATACACTGAGCTTGCTACATAAAAGGAATTCACCAGAGGACCTGTGAGCCCCTTAAAAAAGGGTAGTTATGGAAGACTGCTCATGAAATTTGGGGCTAAGGTTAAAAATGGTCTTGGAAGAGATTGGTTAGAGTCTGTAAACTACGAGAGTGACTGGGAGAGCCAGTGGCCATATCGCTGAAACAAATGAGTTCACAAGAGAATTACTGGGAGATGCACTCATGGCCTTATCTTGGAGGCACATGAGTCTGAATGAGCTGGAGTTAGAATAGGCTGAGCTTCGATCATTTGTGTTAGGCAATACGACTTAGGAGCTTTCTGTTTGCAAGCCTTGGTAAAGTCCATTTTGCTTGTTGTAGCTGGTCTTAGTGCTCTATTGTCTCACATCACTCCAGCCTTGCAGCCAATCAGCATCACTGTCTCATTGTACCAACTGTTTGCACAAAGAGTAATGGGGCCATGCCTCGTTAGGTCAGGTTTCTCAACTTCAGCACTGATAAAGTTTTGGACTAGATAACCCTTTGTTGTAGAGGTGAAGTGACAGTTTTCATGAGTATAGGACATTTAGCACCACCCCTGGCCTTCACTCTTTAAATGCCAGTAGCACCCCGACTAGTTTAGTGCTAGAGTTAATCTGGAACACCAAAAACCTGTGTTGTGAAAAGCTTGGTTCTCAGCATGGATGATACCGGGAGGTAATGGCATTTGTAAGAGGTTGGCCCCACTGGGACACTAGAGGCATGTCTTTGATGAGAGTATGGGAGTTTATCCCTTTTCTCTTTCACTTTTTTCATTTCTCCACATTGGGGTAGCAATTGCCCCACCACATACCCCCTACCATAATGTACCACCACAGACCCAAAGCAGTTGGAGCCAACTGATCATGGGTTGAAACCTAAAATCCTGAGCCAAAGTAATCCTTTTTATAAATTGATTGTCTCAGTATTTATTATAATGACAAGAGATTAGAAACAAATAATATTTTTTTGAGACAGGGTTTCTCTGTGTAGCCCTGGCTGTCCTGGACTCACTCTGTAGACTAGGCTAGCCTCGAACTCTCGAACTTAGAAATCCACCTGCCTCTGCCTCCCACGTGCTGGGATTAAAGGTGTGCGCCACCACTGCCCGGCTCAAATAATATTTTTTAATGTCTTTAAACATTGTCAAATATTCTCTAAGGGAAAGAAAAGCCCTTGATTGGGAACCACTGGATGAGACCACTACCTACCCTGGGACTTAAGATGCAGCTCACTTTCACTGAAAGTCTCATCTATGCAGACGGCATTTATCACAACAAAATGGGGCCATCCCAGCACGGAAAACGAAACATGTGATATTGAGCAGTCATCTCCCAATGTTCTAAACTAGACAAAATAGAAACAAACCTGAATTCTAGTCTTAGGCTTTACTCTCTAATCCCATACTAGTTCAATTCTTTATACAGATATGTCCCAAAAGCCTGTCAGGTCCCAAGGGTTATTACAAAACAAAGGTCCTCAGAAGAGCCAATATTCATGGTTGTAAATGGGGAGGAAAGACAGAAAGCATGATGACTGTTATAAATATTTTTGAAGGAGTAGCACAAAAGGGCAAGCTACATATCCTGACCTTCAGGGAAAGCCATGCTGACATATAGGAATAAACCAGAGGAGCTTGTGCACCAACTCTGCATAAGTAAGAATCCAGATGGTGAGCCGGGCGGTGGTGGCGCACGCCTTTAATCCCAGCACTTGGGAGGCAGAGGCAGGCGGATTTCTGAGTTCGAGAGTTCGAGGCTAGCCTGGTCTACGGAGTGAGTTCCAGGACAGCCAGGGCTACACAGAGAAACCTTGTCTCGAAAAACCAAAAAAAAAAAAAAAAAAAAAAAGAATCCAGATGGTGAGCTGGTAGGGATGATGAACAAGAGTAGGCTTTAGGGTCCGACTGACGAAAGAAGAACCCTCTGAAAGGGACAACAAATGATTAGCATGTGGAAAGAAGGGTCTAGAAAGATGGTTAAGCACATTTGTTGCTCTTGTAGAGGAGCCAGGTTCAGTTCCCACCACTCACATGGCAGTTTACAACTGTCTGTAACTCCAGTTCCAGGAGATCCAAAAGCCCTTGTCTAGCCTCTGTGGGCACCAAGCACACATATATGCACATACATACATTCAAATAAAACATTTTCGTTAAATGCATACATAAATAGTTTTTTTAAGTGGAAATAGCATCACTGAGAAAGAGCTTCTAGATAAATTGCCACGTCATAGTAGGAAGCTCTGGTTTCAGTGCAGGTAGGGCGAGAGAATGAATGAGGCTCAACAATGTTGAAGAACTTATGCTCAATTGACAGAAACAGCTACAAGAGCCAGCTTAGGATAAGAGGGGGCTAGGCATGATGGTATCCTAACGTATTCCCAGATACTCAGGATGCTGAGGCAGGAAAGTCACTGAAGCCCAGGAGGCTGAGTCTAGCTTGAACAACATAGCAAAGTCCATCTCAAACATAAATAGAAAAGGACAATTAGGAAGACTTCATTAGCAGCACAAAGGGAGATGCTATAGAACCTGGGCATAGAACAAATAGCCAGGTCTCATGGAACTGGAAGAGAGTATGAAGGAAACAAGAAGAAAAAGAAGGAGGAAGGAGAGGAGGAGAAGGA